TCAATGAAAGGAGTCCTGTAGTACGGTGGGTTGAGGGTAATGGACAGTTCCTCAATGAAAGGAGTCCTGTAGTACGGTGGGTTGAGCGTAAGGGACAGTTCCTCAATGAAAGGAGTCCTGTAGTACGGTGGGTTGAGGGTAATGGACAGTTCTTCAATGAAAGGAGTCCTGTAGGACGGTGGGTTGAGCGTAATGGACAGTTCCTCAATGAAAGGAGTCCTGTAGTACGGTGGGTTGAGGGTAAGGGACAGTTCCTCAATGAAAGGAGTCCTGTAGTACGGTGGGTTGAGCCTAAGGGACAGTTTCTCAATGAAAGGAATCCTGTAGTATGGTGGGTTGAGCCTAAGGGACAGTTCTTCAATGAAAGGAATCCTGTAGTATGGTGGGTTGAGCCTAAGGGACAGTTTCTCAATGAAAGGAGTCCTGTAGTACGGTGGGTTGAGCGTTAGGCTGCTGACCAAACGCCCAGTGACTCAAACCCCGCATTCACTCCATGAGAGAAAAGGAGACGCTGTCTGCTGCCGTGAAGATGTAGCGTCTAGGAAACCCTATCTAGCTATCCTATGAGTTAGCATCAACTCGACAGCAAGTTCTAAATCCCGTAAAGGAAACATGTACAGATCCTCTAAAACCCACTAACCCAACGACTGCCATCAAATCACTTCCGACTCACAGCAAGCAACCCTAGCTAGGGTTTCTGAGACGGCCCTAAACCATGCCCCTAGCTATATGTTGGTTTCTAGTAACTATTGAAATTGGTGGCTCCAAGGGGTTGACTGGAAAGCTACCGTTGACTGAAGGGTTCCTATGCACTAGGTGTGTTACAGAACATACATGTTAATATGAATCTATGCAAACTCTCCAAAGAAACAAACAAACAACGAAACCCCATTGTCTTTTCAACACACAGACAGACTGGCTAGAATACGAGCTTATCAGGCCAATCCTCATGTGGCACACAGGGAGGGCTTTGGGAAGCCATTTTCCCCTCCATAATGATGATTATTTCTTTGATTAGTACAATTTATTACTTGTGAAATTACATATTCTGCTCTAGAAACAAGCATTTTCACTAAAATCAATCTGAAAATGCCTTTAAATTTGTTTTCTCTTGGCTTTTCTCCTCTAATTTCCTAAATCTGTATCGATATTCAGTAATTCCACCAAAATGAATACTCACTCCATATTTGATTCAAAACCTCAGAAGGCTTGGTAAGCTGAACGAAATGGCATTCCTTGATGAGTTTACTGATCAGTGTAAGGAAACTAAACAGGAGGCGGTCTGCAGCCTTTTCTTCGGTCTCTTCCATTATCTAAAACCGGGATGGATGAAAATCAATTTTGACAATAATCTGAAAGTGTCTGCTAAGCAATTTAACTCTAGCACTAGTTTCTCAACCATGGCACTAATGGCATTTTGGCTGAGAAATGGTTTGCTGGGTGTGGTTGAAGTTCTGGATTTGAATTTGTGGTCGATGTTTTAAAGAGTTTTTCAGGGCAATAATTTCAGGGGTTTCTAACCTGTATATTTAAAAGAAGATTTGGCTACACTGAATTTTTGTTATCATTAACGAGGAACACCTTGGAACACAATTACAACGTAACCCATTAGTGGTACCACCGCAGGCCAAACAAAACGTTTGTTCCCTTGTAAAGTACTTACATCTGTAAACTTTTCAGGATCGATTTCCTTTTCAATCACAGGAAGAACAGTGCCAAGCCTCCTCTCAAATTCCACTCCTTCACTTTCCACGAATAAGCCACAGATCAGGGCAGCCAGCTGTCTATTTAAGCTCTGGCCAAAATAACACACGACAAAGTGAAGCTGATGCAACGAGAAAGGTCACCTATGTGAACGGGACGTAAAGGTGGGGCTACTGTTCTCAGGAACAGCAAGTAAAAATAGGGAACTGTACTGACATGACAAATGTTGGGGAAATCTTCACACCTATAAGGACAGCACTTGAAAAAACATAAAAGAAGAAAGAGAAGCTTCATTTCCCCTTTCCTCCTCCCCGCCCCAATGTTGTGGGCCAGCCACTAGCCAGTCATGAATCTCGGGCTCATATGGTTCACACGGTTCCATCGAGAGGAGTCAATGAAGTGGCAGAGTCAACAAGTGGATACTATTGTGGATTAGGTCAGCGGAATCAGAAACAAAGAAATGTATCAAGAGGGAGCTGGCTAAGTACAGTATCACACGCTGGTCACTGGAGTCCTCAAAGGGCATTAACATCGTGGTGGCCATGTGCATGATTATTTTTATGCCCCTCTCTGTAACTTCCTGGGTTTTCTGAACTCTTACAGTGGGAATACATTAGTTCTAAGCTCAGATGAAAGCAAAGTTATTTCCACTTGGGAAAAGTTAATTCAGCCAGTGTAAAGTGCACTCTTAGACAAAGTATAGTTATCCTGTGACTTTTAGCAGATAGCAAATGCTAACAGTTGCCAGTAATCCTACATGGAACTCAATGCGAACCTTTTTGGCACTGAACCAACTGGTGACCATGTCAAACAGCCAGTCCCTTTTCTCCAGGTCCATTTTGCTGAGCAGGGACTTGATGGTGGCGGCCGCCATCTTCTTGCACGTGGCCGAGTCGTCGTTCCCCATCATTAGGCAGAGGGGGATGAAGAAGACCCCGCAGTTCTCGTGGAGCAGGCCCTAGGAGGAGGCAGTCAGAATGGAGCTCGCGCAGAGAAGAGGGTGGGGATGCAGGGATATGGGGAAGCCCTGTGGAAAAGCATGCTGTTGGTCACAGTACCTGCGGGAACGTGTCAAGGAGGTAGGCGATCATTTCCAAGGCGGACCCTCTCCCGGTCTCATGTTCATAACTAGGGCAGCACAATGAAAGTGCTTTGTCAGTGTCTTTTAGACTGACCAAGAGTAACAACAACAACAACAAAAATGCATCCAAGTGTGGCCTCTTTCTTAGAACACGGGAAACACCTCATATTCCAATGCGAATGATTTCACAGAATCTACCAACTATCGTGCAGTTACCAAGCCAAAGTGGGACTGAACTAAGAAATCATTCACACCACTGCCCATAAAGCCGAGCAACAGTCTGACAACCAGCGAGTCACATAATATAAATGCCACTGTGAGGGGACAGGCCACGGTCCTTAGAACGCATCCATTTCAAGACAGCACACCTCATTCGGAACGAAGAAGCCCCCTCTGCCCCTGTGCAGCTCATGGCTTCAGCTTACCTCAGTTGAGCGAGCACGAATTCCAGGTTTGGTCTCAATTTGTCGCCAAGGGGATAGTCAAGAATGTACTTCAGGAAAACCTAGGAGCAGAAGTTACAGAGATCAGTCTCTAGACCCCGTCTCTCTAGGATTGCTGTTTGCTAAGTTTCTGGGGTGCAGAGGAGGTGACAAAATAGACTTTTCTGGGGGCTCAGTAGCTAGGCTTTTACCACACTCGGACAACTCTGCCTCTTAGGTTACCAACACCACCTTTTCCGTTCTACCCCTCACTCACCCAGGTCATGTGCCTGGATGATAAACAGTTACGTCTTGGCCTACTGCTGGCTCCCAACCAATGCTTATAAGTTGGAAGTTCCTATTTTCTCCACATATGGGCAGGTATGGTGGACCAAGGACAGATTCTGGATCAACACCTGAATAAGAGTAAGACTAATGGTGCTAATATTAATACTGATAATAACAACTACCAATGCACTAATGAAATACCCTTTATGCACCAAACACTAGTTATGTGTTTCTTAGTTAACGCTCATTGCTGCTTTTGCGAGTAGGTGATACTAGGCTGTTTTACAGATGAAGAGAGGTTCGACGCTTGCTCAGGTGATAATGTCCACTGCCTCATTAGCTGTGCCCACAGGCTGTGCTTTCAAACCACTGTGTGACCCAGTCTCTTTTATAATGCACTGAAAGCGCTAAGGTCCCTCATTCCATTTTCTAGGGCCTGCATTTCCCTCAGCATCCCTTGGGGAGGCCATTGCTTCAGAAGGGTGCTTATACACAGACACTAGGCAGGTGACGTGCTGGACACAAGCGGGCGAGGGCTTCACAGGTGGTGCCGGCCCGCTTTTCTTCCTAGTAGAAGGAAAGCAGGGTTTTTTTTTTCTAAAGACATGCCTTTCCTTCTTTCCACCTGGGTCTCATTAGCCCAAACCCGCCTTCAACTTGAGTTGAACTTCAACTTGAGTGCAGAGTTCCAATTCAGATATTTCTACCTCCGAAGTACAATGCGTACTCACAGGATTCGTGATGGACATGCGTGCACACACAAACCCAATTACACTACTGCCCGATCCAAATATTTCAGTAGCTTCTTTTACGACTCTCAGAACAAGACATCCGCTTACTTAAACGCAGAGCAAATATGGTGCAGCTCAACCCTTCGGGGAACCAGCAGCTCTCTCTACAAACCTGTCTGCACTGCACTCTGACGGGCTCACTCTGCGCAGAAATCGCCAACTTGGACACTCTCCGCATGACATCTTCTATTTCTGGAACCAACAGCTTTCTTGATAAGATGGCCTGAGATACAACAGAAAGAAGAGACTCAGTTGCACGTTTCACTACAGGAGGACGCACATACACTTGGTGTTCCTGGAGTACCAGGCAGGTTTCAAACATAAGTAAGTATCTTCAGAAGGAAAAAAGAAAGGTCAAATACAGTTAGTACGATAGAGCTCACATTCAGACATTTTAATAAGGACACGTTGGCTGTAACGAACCCAGCAAAATCAAACCACGCTTCCTAATGACTTATTTCAGAAGCCTTTAGAAGACGGGGAAGTGGCCGCCAGGTAACAAGCACAGGGAGAGCTAGCTTCTCGACAACTACCAGAGAAACCCCACCTCGAGAGAGGGCCAAAGCCTGATCATTCCTCTGAACATCTGGTGTGAGGCTCGGAAGCCAACGCACCGGTGACGCCTTACCTTGAGAAGACCAAACGCGGTAGCTTGTCGGGAGGTGTCGTAGATGTCCTCCTCCGCATAGGCCAGCAGGACCTGCAGCTGCTTTTCCGTGATCTGATACGACTTCACTTTCTTCACCAGTATGGTCACACACTGCAAGTTACAGGGGTGGAGTCAGCACCCAGCATGTCTCCCAAAGCAGGACCCCGGGAAGTGATCAGGACTTGACAGAGCATCACCATCATTTCTCAGAGGACACCAACCATGTTGGCCTGACTTAGCACGTTAATCTGGCATCGTTGACCACGACCACAAGGATACTGGGGAAAATAAAATCCGAGGTGGTCCTGGTACCAACTTTCGCTAAGTACAGGGGAAAACACCTCACCTTGAAACAATTGACCACCAGGTGGAAGTTCAGGCCCTTGGCAGCCCCGAGCTTTGCATAGTCCTTCAGCAAAAGGAACAGGTGTTTGGTCAGCTGTTCTGCCTTGGTTTCTATGGAAGGCAGCGGGAACCTCAAGACCCAGATGAGGCACTGTAGAGTGCCTGTAATCACCTGGGCGAAAAAATAAAATAAAGTAAAAAATCAACCTCTGAATGAGTTCAGCCCCGGAGGCTGGGTAGACACACCAGGATTGGCTGAGTGAATGAAACGGCAGCCACTCTCGAAAAAGATAAGGTCTGTTATTTCCCCTTGTAGAAGAAGATACTGTAGCTCATCAAGAGCAAGTGAAGACACAGCTCAAGCCCAGGTGCTCTTGTAGCACCTTCTTAACCTCTATCAGGGTAAATGATTAGATGGGCGGGCCAAATGTAGAACTCCTTGTGTGGCTGTCACAGTGCATCATTAATGATTTCTACTTTCTGGTATACTACACTTCCATTTGAGACTTTTTGTTAAAAAATATAGTTTTATTGAGAAATAATGAACACATCATACAATTCATTCAACAGTTCAATCCTATTAAGAAGGGTTGTGCACATTCATCACCACAATCAACTTGGGATCATTTTCTCCCTTCTTGTCCCCATCGCTGTGGACTCCACACTTCCCCCACTTCCTTTTCAGTGCCCCCAGGTAATTATTAATCCAGTTGTTGTCTTCAGAGATCCACTCAGTGATACAATCTTACTAGCTTGTGTCATATGCATAGAAAGTACTCTATTGGACATAGAAATGTAATGATAATCAAGGACATTGAGCCTGCATTCAAGGAGCCCATAGGTGGTTCAGAAATCACACAAGAGAAATGAACTCTGAGTCTATCTATTAAGTGCTGTGCGATCGATGACACAGAGAATCCCTGCCCTGTGAGGCCAAACGAGAGATGACCTAGTTCAGCGCTGACTGACACAGCCCGCGCTATTGTGGCTGGTGTCATGTCCTCATTTGCCTGGGCTGGATAAAGGCAGAGAGCAAAGAGTCCAGGCTTTGGAGGCGAAGTGCTCTGGACTCAAATCCCAGCTCTGCTACTTGCTATCTGTTTGACCGTGGAGCTGCCACTCCACCTCTCGGCAGCCTCATGGTAAGCCAAGCAACACGAAGCAGTGGGAGGTGCCTCGCTGTGGGAGCTGGCCAGCCCCGCACTCTTATCCTGGCTCTTAATAGCTTTGTGATCTCGGGCAGGTCCTACTTCCTCCTCTACAAAAAAGAAACATTACTACATGAGGAGGCACCAAAAAGTCCATGGGAAAATTTCATTATCCTTTACTTCCATTTTCCCACAGATTTTCAAAAGTCCCCTCGTATATGCCTTGTGGTTGTTGCGAGGCTTGGAGACAATGTCTTTCAGATTGATGGCTCTGAGGAGCAGTGACAGGGACCCCCCAGTGATGATGACCAGTCTGGGACAATACCACCCGTCCTCCTGAATCAAGCCATAGACCTAGAAGGGCTGTCCAAACAGAAGAGTATTATTAATTGAGGAAACAATCTGATGTAGGGAAGAGTGGTGGTTTGTGACGTCATATCCCACGTTAGAAACGCCATCATCCTGTGTACAAGCCCAAGCCAGTTCTAGGTATTTGGCCTGATACCTGTACAGGACAGGCTGCTGCAGCAGGGACAGAGACCCAACACTCACCTTCACATCCCTGGAGCCCAGGCAGTCTATGAGGAGAGATACAAAAGGATCCAACATTTCCAAAACATTCTCACTCGAAGATTTGATCTTGGAATTCTTCAGACTCAGATATAGCAGCTGAAAGATTTGAACAAAAGAAAAAAATTCACATTCATCACTCAAACGACTCAAGGAGTTAGGAAAGTGTGAAGTGATTTTATGAGACACATGGGAATTGTGAACATTCTTCTATTTGAAAAGACAAAAAAAAATTTCAACGGGAAACTGCTTGGGAGGTTCTAGGTATATCAGTTATATCAGAGTACTGAGAGAGGGAATGGGTAGCCCATGCACCTTACAAAAACCCAAACCCAAACCTCACTACTTTGACGATCAGGCCCTTGCAGTGGACAAGAGCAGTCCAGGGAGTCAGCGCGGACTAAAAGGCAGATAAAGACTCCCTGTGGGCAATCTCACTTTAGGCTCACCGCTCACCTGAAGCCCAGACTCGACAAATATGTGCATGTTGGTTTTCTTGCTCACGAGGGCCTTCTGACCGCCGCGACCAGGAGTAGGCGGGAGCAGAAGGCAGCTCTGGGGTGGCAGACGGGGATCCGGCGCAGGGGGTGCTGGATTTCTGCCAATCACAGGAGAATGAAAAATTGGGGTGAGGTGGAGGAAATACAGGGGCTAGATTCCAAAAGGCCACCGTGGCACAGTTGCCCTCTCAGGCGACGGAAGCCTTGTCCTATTACATCGTGTGCCATTTGCTTCTGTACCCTACCCACCCGCAGCCCTCCTTTTAAGCAGAGGCACAGAAAAGAGGGTTTGGCCAATCAAGGTGCCTAGGCTCACTCCTAGAAACAGGACAGACTGATCCACACACAATGCTTTTCAGTGAATTATCAAGGAGTCCTTCCCTTGTGTGACTGCTGAAAGCACATGCTAGGGAGTCTCTTTTAGAACCCAGAGGCAAACCTAAATGCGCTTCAGTCTTTTTAAAATCTCTTAATAAGCTCTGTTTGATCAGAACAAGGAGTATGCATTTAAAAATCCATCCTAACATGGATTCTAATGGTTAAAAAACAAACAAACCTCGGATCATTTTATTTTTTACAGAGCAATTGCTAAATAATGCATGCAAGAGTAAATAAGAGCAGCTGTCACCAGAGACTGGCGGAAACACAGAGACACATGGAACAGCTCCCATCTTACAAGCATAGGAACCCAGCACATGAGCGTCTAGCCTTAGAGCAGTGGTTCTCAACCTGTGGGTCATGACCCCTTTGGGGGTCAAATGACCCTTTCATAGGGGTCGCCCGAATCATAACAGTAGCAAAATGACAGTGATAAAGTACCAATGAAAACAATTTTATGGTTGGGGGTCACCACCACATGAGGAGCTGTACTAAAGGGTCATGGCATTAGGAAGTTTGGGAACCATGCCTTAGAGGATCGAGGATAGCAAGGGGCAATGAAGACACTTTAATGAAAAGATGGGAACAATAACAATGAAGCAAACAACCACCCCTGAGAACAACTTCAGAGCACGACAGAGTGCCAGCCTGCAGTCACTGGCGTCTCGCTATACCAGCTCTCGGGCACAGCTGAGAGAGCCGAGGGGGCACTCTCCCTGGTTCTGCAGCTTTACTCCCAAGTGTCTAAGATGGAACGTCTACAGCTAGATAGACTGAGGTTTAAGATAGATTAAACCATCAGAGAAACAGGGATGGGGGGTGGGGGGAACTAAGAGTAGAATGGCTTATCAGAAGCAAGCATCTAAAAGATATTACCTGCTGTCGACCCAAACTTACTTTTCTTTCTCTGTTAACAGGGGGAGATTTTCACTGACCAAACCGTAACTGAGCAATAAGATGGCTTCTGTTGTCATTTCCTGATTTACAATTAACCCTGCGATGATGCGACGTAAGGTTTCATGAACTTTCCGGGCCAGTTTTAAACTCGTGGTATTTTGTAAGATCTAAAATGTCAGGTGAAGCAACGTGGAAGAGCATTAAATTTCCAACACAATTTTAATTTATGTAAATAAAAGTTCCCAACCACCCCTCTCCCTGCTAGATAACTGCTGCTAGCAGTGTGTGTGCACCTGGATTTCGTCCACTCTTTCCCTGCCCCCACCCCAGGGATCAGCCCTGAAGATCCCAGATGAGGGCTCAGAGACTTCTAAGGAGCTGAACCACCAAGTGCTTGGTTGTGGGCTGATGTCAGGTTGATTCTGAGCAGAGACGGCCCTACAGAATTTTCTGGATGGTCCTCTCGAAGCAATTGCACCCAAACATTTGGACTGGTGGAGCTTTCGGTTCTAGTTTGGCCAATAAACTTGCAATACAGTGGATTAGGACGCTCACTCCTGCCACAGGAAACCAGGAGCATGTGCTAGGACTCGGCCTCCAGACAGGAGGTAGATGCAGAGAGAATGAGAGCTTGGGATCGGAAAGACCCAGAACGAGCTCGTGACTTCCCTCCTTTGCTATGTTTCTTTCTGCCCTCTTGAGCCTTCATTTTCTTATTCGAAGCTAGAAATATCATTTGTCTCCTGGGGTGGTTGTACAGAGAAGCTAAGGTGGTACAGTGCTCAGAACAAAATAAATGTCCATCAATGCCAGCCCCTGTCCCCTTGGCAACTTGGGAGGTGGAGTCTGATTCCAAAGGTCATGTTCTTAGCTGCTGAATTGACCCAGTTTAAAAAATGTGTTGCCTTTCTTTGCTCATTCCACGACTTTTGGTTAAAACAGCCAACGCTGGACTGCCACCTAGTGGCCAGATGGCCCTAGTGCCCTTAGCATCAAAGGAAATACTGGTGATCAAAGGCAGGGTTCTGGTTCACCTGGCTGCCAGGCTCTTTTCAGGGAATTTGTGATACTGTAAATGCGGAATCTCCTAGTTTGCATTCAAGTCTTTACCTCTTTTAACGGAAGGATCAGTTTCGTAACCTGGTCTTTTCCTACAAACTTGCCCAGGATTTCATAAGAATCGTAACTCTTGCTTCTTCGGGCCTCCATAATTTTGGAGAGGATCTGCTTCACTTCTTTCTCTTCAGCAACGGCACCAAACAACTCATGGTTAAAGACCTTCAAAGAGAGAAGCCGGGTGGATTTATGTTCACGTGGCAAAAGAGACCAACCTCAGCAGCCTATGAATGACAGCGCTGCTCTGTCCACATCAGAGCAAAACAAGGCCTGGATTGAAACCAGATGGTAGAAAGTTCTCTAAGATTTTACTTGCTTTCAATGCAGTCTAGAGACTAATTTCTAAAGAACAAATAAACACAGACAGAAATAAGTAAAGGCTATCTTTGTGGGAGACAAAAAACAAGATTAAACAAAACAAATAAAACTCCAGATGGATTTACATAAATATCGGCTAACTGTAGGGACAACTACATCTTGGCCAAGGGTGGTAGTTTTCCTTTATGAACTTCTTCTGATCTTTGCAACTTTAGTACTGAAATTCATGTGAGTGTTTAAATTGAGGTCCAAGCTGTTAAGTGTTTGTTTACCTTGCTTGGAGATGAACAAAAGGTTGGGGGAGAGATTGAGGCCCTTCCTCATTGCGTCCCTCCTCTGATGCTTTACATCATCAGGTTTTGAGCTTGACACCTTGACACTTTTGATATTAGATTCCTTTTAAAAATAGTTTTAAAAATATATACACAACATTGGTCAACTCAACCTTTTTCCAGGTGTACAATGCCATTAATCAAAGTGGTTGCCAAGTTTTCTACTACCATCACCACGTTCAGCCTCCTGAGCAGTGGCGCCCCAAGCCCACTTCCGACCCTGGTTCCGATGGCTTCACTGGAATAGATGCTTGGAAGTCGTTGAACATTTTTGCTCATTTGAAAGCTCTTGCTACATAATGCCGGGTGCTATGACTGGCATATTTGTAGCAACTTACGTACGACTTAGTAAGCAAAACTGAGTGCTGGTCATGCTTCACCTGAAGATAAGGTTTTAAAACTTGCTAATCTAAGAGATGAAATAGTACACAGTTTACTTTGTTATTATTTCTTATTTCCGTGGACTGATTTGTGGAGTGTGTCCCCCTGAAAAGGCAGAAATCCCTTCAGCTACGTCTTACCTCAATCATTATGTCTAAAGAAGAGTCCAAATCACCAACTTGGAGCTTGTTCGTGAGGCCGTGCAGCAACATGTACACAGTGAAAGTTAGCACATGGACCTAGAATTCAATACACAGTAAGACCAGGAGTGGGTCATATCATAACCGTACAGCTTATTAAGATCAGAGCACAAAATTGTGACGTTATTGCAGGGAAGAACTGTAATAAACGACATGGACTCATATCACTGCCCCAAACCCTTTAACCAAGTGATCACGGTATGGAAGATGCTCAGCAATGTACTGCTGTGCCCAGGCTCTGTTACTGTGGAGAGACCAGGCCAGCGATGTATAAAAAAGGCACAAGGGTCTTGAACTTCAAAAGCCAACCTGTGAATTAAGAACCTAGGCAATGTTGAGTGCGAGTCCAGCTGGTATGGAAAGTGCTCTGAAGGAAACAAGTTAAGGTTGTGCCCTTCAAGCACAACGGTAGCTAACATGTACTGTGAGCGTAGGATGAGTTAAATCAGAGAACCTGACACATTGCCCTTGATTCTGACCCACCCACAGCAACCCGACATAGGGTTACGAGGGTTTGTGAGATTTGAACTCTTGATGGGAGCAGACAGCCTCATCGTCCTCCGGCAGAGACAATGAGTCTGAATGGCTGACTTTGCAATTAGCGGCGGCGCCAAACAGCGTTACCAGGGTTCCTTTTGATGAGCTAGGCACTCTTGATATTTCACACGCTTTGGCTGACTTAACTGTCATCTACCTTATCTATGGTGCACTGCCACTGAGTCAATTTTGACGCATGGTGACCCTATAGGACATAGATGTGACCCTATAGGGACCAGAGGCTGTCAATTTTTATGGGTATAGAAAGTCTCATCTTTCTCCTGAGGAGAAACTGGTAGATTCAAACTACCGACCTTGTGGTTAGTAGTTCAACATGTAACTCACTAAACTACTAGGGCTCCTTCGGTGCTTAAACCAGGGGAGCTTCCATTTTCCCACACACTATTGAAGCTCCCTAGAAGGCTTTACATTTTTCACATGAGGGAGCTGAGGTATAGAGAGGTCAAGGTTACATGGAGGGAACATGGTGGAATCAGGATTCAAAATCAGCCGATCAGGTGTCAGAACCTCAGACCACTAGGCTTTGCTGCCTCTAATGCTTCCTGTGTTTTGTTCTGCCTCTACTGCTGAATTTCAAGAGAAACATCAAAAGAAGATTGTAAGCTGAGGAGACACACTTCCAAACCGAACTCACTGCCATCAAGTTGCTGCAGACGCACAGGACAGGGAGCACTGCCCCTGCGATTCCCCAAGACCGCAACTGTTCACAGGGGCAGGAGGCCCGTCTTTCCCTCGACGGGGAGCAGCTGGGGGTTTTAACTGCCAGCCTTTCGGATCCCAGCCTAATGGGTGACCATTACAGCACCGGGGCTCCCTACGATACACTAACTGTCAATAAGCCAAATATAAAGATATATATTTTTATAACCTACATTTATCTTAAATACTTTCATTTTATTAAAATGTTGCTGTAGGGCTTTTGATCACTTTAAAGAGCCTTTTGGCTGGGGGTGGGGAGGGGGAGATAGAGCGTAAAATCTGGAGAGCATGATGGTGGGAAGGGTCTATGTGATTAAGACTAAAACCCAAGCTAGCTGTCCTTCCATTCCTATTTGAATGACTGGAACTGACTTTGCAGGTGGGATGTAATTGAAAAGCAGGTCAAAAAGGAAAAGGCTACTCATTTCAATACTGTAGGTGCTCTGTCAGAGAGAGTGGAGCGAGTCCTCAAGTACAGAGGTGTGTTGTTTCCATGTGTGTATGCCCAACACCCAATACATCACCTCACACACAGTAGCCATGAAATAAAGGCACGTGACGGAATTCAAGTGGTAGAGGGCAGGAAAAAACCTCATAATGCCAGAGGCTCTGGTTCCGGGTAAGACGAAGAAAGCCTACTCCACACCCGCCCTCCCCCTGAATGCAGCTGTGAACGCTGGACAGGCTGCACCAAGCAGCTCTAACTGCTAAAAGCAGCAGGTCTATGACAGGAAACAAAATGCAAGTTCTACTGAACTAACCCTGAGTTTAGCAGGAGAAATGAGGAGGGCCCAAACTTATGGAATATTCACAGTATCACCAAAGAAATGTGCACTAAAGAACCAAATGCACGTTTCGGAACTGAAAAATGACCAGAGCAAGAAACTCACTGGCTGGGCTCAACAGCAGAATGGAGATGAAGGACATGAATCAACGAACCTGAAGACAGATTACCCAATCTAACAACAGAGAGGCAAACCAAACCAAACCAGAGCCGGAGAGGCCAGTACACAAACACTAACATTCATTTCACTGGAATACCAGAGAAAAAAGGAAGTGTGCCGGGTGAAAACAGTGTGGATAAGGGCTGAAAATGCCCCATCTTTGAGAGACAAACACAGATTCAAGAATTTCAGGAAACTCTAAAACACCAAGAAATCCATGTCACAATCAAATTGTTGAATAAATAACGACAAAAAACAAGTTCTTCACAGCAGCCAGAGAGAGACAACTCATTCCCTAGAGGGAAGAGCAAGTTGCCCATCGGAGTGCAGAAGCACAACGATCTGAAAGCCGGGAGAGAAAAGAACCGTCACCGCAGCATTCTTGTCATCAGTGAAAACGTCCTCCAGGAAAGACGATGAAGACACTGGCAGAAGGAAACCAGCGCCCACCACTGGGTGAAGTAGCCCACGTGACCACAGTAAGCTTTTCTGAGGGAGGGGAAGGGATACTAGATGGAATCGTGAACAGCAGGAACGAAGGAAGAGCAGTGAAATGGTACCTATCTGGGCGAGACAACAAACTCTCCCTCTTGGGCTCTTTAGTGGGAAGATTTCTACATTTCACTTGAAGTGATCTAAGTGCTGATTCTAAACAGACTTCAAAACGCTAGCTGCATCTCTGGTCAGCCTTAGAGCAACATCTAAAAAATTATAAGATCAGAGAGAGCCAAGACGACTGCTGACATGCATGTAACTTATAGCATAGACACTAAGCCTATCTACCAGTTAGAATACAGAGGGTGAGGCAGTCTTGGCTGGGTCAGAGAACAAGCTGCAGCGTTTCTCATATTTCCAATCGCCTGGGGATCTTTATGAAAACGCGGACGTGGATTCTGTAGGTAACTGTATGCTTTAGGTTCTGCCTTCCTATGGGGCTCCCAGGGGCTGCTGCTGCTGGTCCCAGGGTCACACAGTGAGCAGTGAGGAGCTGGAGAGCTGGCATTCCACCTTGCACCCATTATTCTTCCTATCAAGTATGTTTTCAGCTCTTAAGTAATAGGAATGTGTAAGTGGTCTTAATTTTTCACATTTAGGGCAATCCAGTCAATACACCCCATGAGCAGTTTATTAAGAACTCGGAACCCAAACATGCTGTCAGAGGTAAAGTGATTTAGGAGATAGAGACAAGTCATGTAAACCACGTCTACATGGATTGTAAACACTGTACCTGATAGCCACGGACAAGTGTAGTCTGCAATTCCTTTAAAATATACTGGAGGTAGCGCACACCCAGGTCTTCTATGATTTTTGCCAGAGTGCTGCGTGCAATGTCTCTGATTTCCTGGGCTCTATTCTTGAGAAGGGCACACACCTTCAGCAAAATACTAGGAAGTGAGAAATTGAAGAAGCAAATAATCAAATCTCTAGAATCGAAGAAAAATATCAATACCCCTTGTATCTCTCAACTATTCATAAGCCACATTTCCTAATTAGGATGTGCAGGCACAGCAAAGAGTGACAAACCTTCTCCTCCTCCTTGACAGAGACTTAAGAAGCGAGTGCCCGTTTTGAGTTTGGCGGAACTCTTCTGATGTCACCCCTCATATCACACATACCCTGGCAGATTCGTTTCCATGACTTCTTGGGGAAGAGACTGCATGAGCTTCACCATGGCGAAGGCTAAAGGCACTCGAACGACCTCCTCGTCGTTCACGACCTTTGACTTGACCAGCTTGTGCTCTTCCTCCCTCTTCGTCTGTAAGAAAAGTTCCAGTTACACCAAAATGGAGAGAGCCTTCCCAATACCCAAATGTTCCACCTGAACCCTTGGCCCTTTTTCTGTCTCTCTAGCACATCTGTATCTTTAGTATCTGTAACCAACAAACTAAAATCATACAATTTTAAAAGTCTGTAAAAGTGATATACGATTATTCTACTTTTGAAATGAGCAACAAGAAGAAATAAAACCTTCCCCCCTGCCCCTGATGTTGCTAAGACTGCTATTAAATATCCACACAGCACATCAAACCTGTTTCAATTTGGCATTTCAGTGTTTGTGTGACACGTACATTGTCTCTCAGCGCAAAATGATTTACTTGGTAGATAAGAAATTCAGTCCCTTGGCTATTTGGAAGATTTATATACAAACACACAAAGTGAACAAGTCAATATTTAACACAAAAATTGATATACCAGTACTTTTTTTTACAAAGGGCCAGAGGGTAAATGCTTTTGGTTTCATGAGCCAAATAAATTGCTGCAATTACTTTGTAGTGCCAAAGCAGCATCAGAAATATATGAGGTGTCAAAAAATTCCTGCAAAATGGAATTAGAATATAATGAATTTTCCCCCTGAGCTCTTTGACTCCCCCTTGAGAAAACAAACAGGCACAGCTGTGTTCCAATAAAATGTCTATAAAAACAATCTCGGGGTTAGATTCAGTTCAAGGCCCATAGCTTGCACCCCTTATTTTACATGGAGAAGAACATGGCATTAGCTTCATGAGACTGTGTTGCTAAGAAGTGCTGCGAACCCAGGGAACGATGGATTCCAACAGTAGAGAGGGAGCCAGAAAGTAGAAAAGGGCAGGATACTCTCGAACCATCTTTCCACCACAGCAGAATCATCATCATGAAGGAGTCCTGCCAAGCGTGCACCAGGACATGAGCCTCAGGTTGGCAAGGCAAGAGAGGGGAGATGTAGTGTGAAAGACTGAGATACAGGGAAACCCCAAAGTGAAGTCAATCAGTGACAGTTATGAGTCTGCTGTGGTCTCACCGAGGCCGAGTTCACACACACCCTCCCCTGGCCCCCAAACAGAATGATTACCGTAGATGCCAGGCATTTATGGAGCTTGGGTAGGATATCCCCTGTTATGGTTCCATGGATGTTTTTAATGGTTCTTTCCAACTCTTCTTTATTCTGAGGAAGGCAGGAGAAGGACTTCGGGACACACTCAGATTCCTTGGCTGATGTCTCTCCAGGATCGGCTGCATCGGGGCTTCCCGATTCCTTCTTGTCATCTGACAGGCTCTTCCACCCACCTTCCTTCTCCTCTCCATCCTCCCCTTCTTCATCTAACTCCATGGCTTCATGCTCTGGTATCTCAATCACTTCCACTGTGCCTATGTTTAATAAACAACAAACAATAATAAACAACAAAGTCACCTTACATCAAGTAAGGAAAAGGCAGTTTCTTCAGTCGTCTTTCCCACTAACACCCACTATCTCTTAAAAAATACTAAACTACTGTCATCGAGTGTTTGCAGACTCATAATGACCCTCCGTAGAGTTTCTGAGGCTGTAATCTTTATGGAAGCAGTCTCATCTTTCTCCTGTGGAGTGGCTGCTGGGTTTGACCCACAAACCTTGCAGGTAGTAGCCCAATGATGAATTCACAGCACCACCAGGAGTCCTCATAATGAAGGATAAGAATCAACCAAACCCACTGCCATCAAGTCAATTCTGACTCATGGAAACCCTACAGACAAGAGAGACCCGGCCTGTGGGTTTCTGAGACAGCAACTCTTCACAAGGACAAGCAGCCTCATCTTTCCCCTGTGGAGCAGCTAGCGGCTTCCAACCACTGACATTTCAGTTAGCGGCTCAACACGTACCCACTATGCCACCAGGGCTTCTCCGTAATAAGGGATAGAAAAAAGTAAATTGGTAATAATACAAGAACGATAAAAACAGTGAGCGTAGGGCAACAGAACCCTGAACCACAGAGAGCTTCCGAATTGCTACGGTTCCAAGAGATTTCTAGAACAAAACCTACTTTCCCAAGAGGAAAACTCTAGTAGCAATTTCCCTTGTTTTAAGATTCAGCTAACTAATAAAAATCAGGCAGCCAAGTAGTCGAGTGAGCAAGTCCAGACTTGGCTCTGCTAGCAAGCTTTAATTTAATGTCTCGACATTGACTCAACCTCAAGCTCCTGGCATAAACGGAGTATTTGTCATGTTTTTATTAGTTGATTTATAAATATTTGGCTTATGATTTTTATGTCTATATTCATGAATGAACCTGGTTGTAATATTCTTTTCTCATACCAGTCTTTTTCAATTTTCTGAAGCAGTTGGTTGGTCTAAGGATGAAATTATTTATTCCTTAAATGTCTGGTAAAACAACCTGAGTCTGGTATTTCCTTCAGAAGACTTTGAACCACAGCCTCAAGGTATTTAATGGCTACAGGGTCTTTCAGATTCTGTGCTGCTTCTGAAGCCACTTTGCGAACTTAGGCTTTTCTAAGACGTTGTACAGTTCATCCATTTCAAATGCATACATACAAAGATTATTAACTTTTTAAATAACTATGCTCATTTCATCCCTAATATGGATTAATATTTAATATGCCTTTTTCTCTTGATCATTTTTGCCAGAGATAATCGTTTCAAGTATCTATTTCTAGCTTTGCTGATTCTCTCTTTTGTATCTAGAGGCAGTCTCTGGGTGATGAAAGTCTGACAGGTGATACCACAAACCAGTCACTGAAAATCCAACTATGTAAAAGATTCGATACATACTACAGCTCATAAAAACAGAAAGGTGCTATTTCGTGGTGTGTTATCAAACCATTAAAGATGATTCAGTGCATCTGATAGCGCTTCTTCAATGTTGTTGATGCATACAGACATACTTACTACATACTTCATTCTGAGACAAGCCTTACTAACCACACCACCAATCCAAAGTTCACACAAACTGGACTTAGGGACAGAAACAGACCGTGACTGCAACCTAGGCCTTGGCCGTGTTTTATATTTCATTAATTTTTTCTGTAATTTTAAATCTTCCCTCTCTTAAGCTTTTTTTCTTTCTTTTTAAATGTAATACCTTATTCATTTATTTATTTTTATATCACTTTATTGGGAGCTCTTACAACATTCACACATCAATTGTATCAAGCATATTCGAACATATGTTGCCATCACCATTTCTAAACATTTCCTTTCTATTTGTCTTGAGCTTTCTTGTATTCACTACTTAATTCTTTTCTTTACATTACGGTGATAACCTGGGATTTTCATATAAAAAAACCTATAGTTTGCCTCTTTTTGCACTGACTTTGCACTGCTTTTCCCCAGATTTAAAATAATGTAGCATAAGATACTCAAACCATTCTCGGGAGCCTCCTTCGACTCCCTCACTGGTCACTGTTACTGGATCAACAAAGGGAATATGTAAACTGAATTCTGACATCTTTAATCCGTGCTCACTCATTATGAAAGAAGAGGGGAATCTAGTTTGAGAAAGCACAGAACACTTACCGTCCTCATTCTGAATCTTCCCCATCTGTTCTTCCAGAGTTTGGTGGTCAAAGTGGAATGCTTCCAACACGATAACCAGCAAACTGTTAAAACGAAAAAAGGACAGAAAAACATTCACTGGATTATCATCATCATTTAACTACTAAAAAGGCAGTTATCATTCAGAGAGGCTATTTAAAGACTTACATTAAAATTCTTTGGATCAGTTCTAGATATACTTGATTTAACAGGACTCACCGAAACGTCAATAAAATAGTTATCATCCAAACTTCAATAAAAACAAGCCAGGAAACCATTTTAAAATTGTTATTTTTAAAATGAAACAAAAAGTTCAGCCATACCTGACACCCAATTTTTGATTGATCTGTCCTGTACATAAGACATGAATAAAATGCTTCAAGTAATATATATATGCTGACCACGAGAGATGTTTACATATAGCTCCGATAAGTTCTGTAGCAGCGATGGTTATATTTTCATGCTGTAAAACAAATTGACAGCATCAACAAAGCCCAAGTATTGGCTAATGGATATTAGCTTACTTTAGTATATTAAGAAGTTTAAGCAGCAATTAGGAGCCCTCGTAGCGTAGTGGATTACATGTGAGGCTGTGTATTAGTCTGGGTACTTTGGAGAAACAAATTCACAGTGACTCGTGTATAAGAGAGAGTTTTATGCAAAGAAAATGTGCATCACGAAAACATCCCAACCCAATGCTGCCCAAGCCCACAAGTCCAACATTAACCCATTAACCCAACACCAGTCCACAAAGTCCTCCACCTCACAAAACAGAGGCAATGATGCCGACTGCGGGAAGAAAGCTGAGTCAGTGAACGAACAAGCATTTCAGCACTAGCAGGGGTCTCCACACGGCTGCTCCAGCACCCAGGGCTGCATCGGGATAGGTCCATTTAGCTTCTCCTTGGGGATGTCTTGTAGGAAGTCAATCTTGCAAGCTGAAGCAGGGAACTGCTAAGGCAGCTGCACCCGATACAACCATCACAAAACAAGAGACCCGAGAACTAGAAAGGCAAGGCTTCACCACCCATTTATCCCTCCGCCTTTCAACCAGCCCCACATGTGATTATCGGCCAGGCTGGCACAATTAACTAACTCAGGCTGCTACACACAAGGTGGGCAATTTGAACCCACCAATGGCTCCATGAAAAAAAGATGAGGCTTTTTGCTCCCATAAAGGTTTACAGTCTCAGAAACCCAAAGGGCCAGTTCTACTCTGTCCTATAGGGTCACTATACGTCTGAAACAATTCCAGGACAGTGAGTTTAGGCAGTAATTATAGAAAGGACCTCCAAAACCAAACCCACCGTCACTGAGCAAATTGCAACGCAGAGCAACACTATTCAAAAGAAAGACTACTCAAACAATACTCAACTTCCCCCTACAAGCCTGTAAGTTGGAATAGATATGACAGTAAATCACCCCCCACCCCCCCACCAGGAAAAGGTGGGATCACTTAGAAGTGGGAAATTGTGAGGGAGGGTAGGAGGGAGGGAGGAGAAAAAAAGAGGAGCTCATACCAAGGACTCAAGTAGAAAGAAATTGTTTTGGAAATGTGTTGATGGTCACATATGTACAAGTGTGCTTAATACTACTGAATGATGGATTGTTACAAGATTTGAAAGAGCATCCCAATAAAATAATTTAAAAAGTCAGAAACCATATTTTAATAAATAAGGTGACATTTTGAAATCCTTTGCTCTCAGACCACTATGATGTGTATAATTTCAAGACTACAGTGAAAGCCATCAATTTGCTGAGCTAGATTGGTAAAAGTTAACCGTACAATGCACAGCTCAGCACTTGCAAGTGCAATGCCTTGGAGATTTGTGCAGCTGTTACAGAGAATAGGGCCTGGACTTAACCTTGGACCTTTAAGTATAAATTAGACACACCAGATATGAAACAATAGTTTTCAGACACCGAGTATCCAACAGCACAGTGCAGTGACCCCTGAGAGAAGGGCCTTGCTTTGATGAGGTGAGCTTTATGTCTCCCCAGGTAATTGTGAGGTGACAGGGCAGGTTACAGGACAAGGGTGGAAGCTCACATAGAGTGCAGAGTGGAGGCTCTAAGGAAGCCAGGATTGCTGGACTTCACAGAGTATCAGAGAGAACAAGCTGTTTAAAGAGGAGAACTGGAGCCTTCAGCTGAGTACTGATCGGTACAATTAAGTAAGGAAGAGACAGGGAAAAGAACCCATTAAGGGATAGGGATAATAGAGGGCCATTCATGTTCCTATCAGACAGAATGAAAAGTGGAGGGAGGACCGGCTATTCAGGCATTCAATGAGCAGGACCTCCCATTGTGGGGCCAAATTTGTCTTAGGCTAAAAGCTACTCTGGATTTGCCTGACAAAGAATAAAAGCAAGCCTCAAAAAGATCAGACTGTGCAAGCATTCCAGGAACAAGCGCCAGGAATATTAAAGGTGTGCAAATGTACCAGTAGCCAGCAAAGTTAAAGTTCACAATGTCTGACATCTAATAAAAATGACCAGGTAAAAAGAGAAAAATATCTGGAAAAGCAAACCTAGTGCCACTGAGTTGATTCTAACTCTTAGTGACCATGGAGGACAGAGAACTGCCCCATAGGGTTCTTCCTTTCTTTTTTTCCCTTCCATTACAGGGTTTCTAAGGCTGTAATCTTTTGGCACACTGCTTCACTTTTCTCTTGTGGAGATAATGGTGGGTTTGAACTGATGACTTGTTGTTTAGTAGCCAAGTGCTTAACCACTGTGCCACCAAGGGTCCTAAAATATCTATACTAAGGAGAAAAATCCATGCACCTAAGCAGACCCAGAAATGATGTGGATGAACAACTGATACAACTACATGTCAGTCATGTGATCAGCACCAGAGAGGAGAGTAAGAGTACACTAAGGAGAAACTTCAAAGATATGACTTTGGGACCAACAAGTGATGAGGTTATAGGAGGCCTGGTAGGGCTTGATCAAGGGCAATGTAACCGAGAGGAATTACTGAAACTGAAATGAAGGCTGAACATGACAGTGGGGCAAGAGGAAAGTAAAAGGAAATAGAGGATTATACTGAGGTAGCAGATGGACATTAGGCCTCGACTCAAGTACTCCCTCAACAAAAGAACACTTTGTTCTATTAAACTGGCATTCCATGATGTTCACCTTCCCAATACAATCTCCAAACACAAAGCGGGAGCATAAGCAAATGTGGGGAAGAAAGCTGATGGTTGAAGCAGCAAGGTCCCCAGTGAATGCTAAAGGTGGACTTTGAGGCCAAGGCGTAGTGCCCCAACAGACTGGACTGGAAGGCACTCCTAAAGGCCAACAATCCTTGAACTAACTACAAGCTTTTCTTTCTTGGTGAGTTTTAATTTGTTCTTTGTCAGTGGTTTGTTGTTGTTGCTGTTTTGTTGTACATTGTTGCTTGGTTTTGCTCTGTCTTGTTTTTGTGCATGTTGGTGTCTCCGCAGGTCTGTCTGGATA